TCATTTTCGTTTTTCATTCTCAATGATTCACTTGAATTTCGTTTTCTGCAAAAGGTGCCAATAATAGTGTTTTTGAAGCTTCTATGATTCCAATGAATCTCATGTAATTTGAAAACTTACCAAACTGAATAACATTATCATCAGAATGAATTGAATAAACTTATCCATGAAAGTCTTGCGGTCAACTCATTTCAATGGAAATCGAGATTCAATGAGTTTTCATTGATGAAAACCTCATGAGGTGAGATGAAATGAAAAGTTTGATCGATGAATAAATTGATATTCATCCTTTTTCAATCGAAACAAAAATCTAATATTAATTTTGATTTTTGCTAATAAATCGCTTTCTAAGTTGCTTTGAAACCAATTTGTTAATTTTTCAATTTTAAAGAGTGACAAAAGTCTAAACATTTATTTGGTTTAAATAATTGTTGACAATGAAAGTTAATCTCGATTAAGAGTTGAATTGATGAAAAGGAAGCGAGAAAAGGATTCGCTGGAAATGAGATGTTGATCCAAATCGATTAAATGGTTAAACGAGTGAACATTTAACATCTCATCTTTCTCCTTCTCTTGTTTCATCTTTTATCATCTCACCAGTAAACAAGGTTTCCTCATCATCATCATCATCTTTAGAGTTTCCTTCATCTTAAAATGATTGCAATCAAGTGTAAGCCGATTGATCCAGTTGTCCCATTAGTCTTGACGAGTCTTTACCCTTAAAAACAAAGCAAAACCCAAACAAGACAAAAGACGAACCCAAATCCCAATCTATTTTTTGCTCGCCTCTCACCCTGAATCCATGTTCACCAATAAAAAGTCTCCCTCTTCTCACCCTGTTTTTATGGATTAACACAAACATTGCCTCTCTGTTATTTATCATCCAATCATCCAATCATCCTCTTCTCTTCATCTCATCAGTCTAAATAGACTGTCTCTGATGATCACATCTCTTGATTACTTGTGAAACAAAAACTGGATTAACAATTTTTACAAGTCGAGTTCAACATTTGAAATTAACCTTTAAATTATTTCTTTTCTTATAAATTATTTTCTTCCATTTCAATCATGTATTCATCATCACTGTTATCACCTTTTCGTGTTAACATGTTGGCTATTTCATAATGACCCTCCATGATGGCCACACTTATCCTTGTTACTTTACCTCTTCAAGGAAAGAGAAATGTTGAACAAGACAAAATTACGCTGTTCAACGGGTGACCAACAAATGCAATGTAAAGAAGCAGGTTCAACATCATCACCATCATCATTACCTTACCCTTGTCCATTGGCTACTCCTGTTTTAGTCACTGATCTTCCTTCCTCAACAACAACATCATCATCATCAACTACAACTACAACATTATCCCGTCCAAATGGAGACCAATTGACGGAAATAGGAGTTAACTTGCCTGAGACAATTTCGAGGATAACATCACTTGTATCATCTTCATCAGGAACCACCGATGATAAGCCAACAGCAAATCCAAGCAACACTAACATTAACATGACGGGTAACATTGAGAGGATCATTAATTTGAGAAGCGAAAGGTTATCTGTCAATGAATCGACTTGTAAACCATTTAACAAAATCACTTGTAATTTATCCAATTTACGTCCTCGAATGTCAGCTCATCATTTAGACAGAAGACATCATTCACATTCACATTTCAATTCATCTTTCAATCGACACAAAAAATCAGGTAAAAATATTTTCTTTTCTTTGGCTTGAGAGAATGGACTTTACCGATTAGAAACAAAAAAAAGCCAAATTTGGCTTTCAATTATATCCTTCCCTGTATTCATTGATTTACACCTTGTTTCCTGATTCCTTGATTACATCCAATGGAAATGGTTAGGAAAAGTGAGAACTGAAAAGACGGTGAATCAGCTTCAATTGATTAACTTTCAATAAACAATCAATCCTTAATGAACCAATTTACCAGCAATTGTCCTTTTCCTCAACAATCAAACCTCATTAATGGTTCAACTTCAGTCAATGTTAACCTTTTTTGATTTTTACCTTATTGATTTGCCTTCTTGATTTGTTTATTAAATGTTGAGATGAAATTGTTGATCATCTTCATCATTAACTTGAAATTGGCGAGAATTCCTTTAATCATTCCTTTACAATTATTTATATCATCAGTCATCATGTGATGATATCTTTGCTTCCAAAATAAAACCTGAAAATGGGTTTCAAGTTGAAAGATGAAGGTAAAGATGAAGATGGTAAAGTCCCGCCTTGGGCATTCCTTAAAGACTATAATATCATGGAAGGTTAACTCATCAATCATCAATCCTTATCGTCTTTTCTTCCTCATCTTTTTCATCTCCTCATTTGACCATCTCAAGAGATTATTATGTCTTTAACTTTAAACACTTGCACTCTTCAACATCAACAACTCTGAAACTGTTGAATATTCAACAATTTTTTTCTTCGCCTCCAATTTTTTCCATTGACTTTTCACTTAAATTGTTTACAGTGTTGATTGTTTCGAGTTCATTAACCATTACGAGTCATCAATTAGCTTCATCAAATTGTCTCCAATAGATCAATAAATTTTGGAAATTATTGTTTTCTCCTTTTTTACGATTATGGTAATGTTGAGATGAATATTGCCAAAATTAGAGATTGCAATTTTACTTGAATTTAATGGCAATCGATTCAAGATAGCTTCCAATGAGTTTACCATTGAACACGGAAAAACAATCAACTAAATTTGGCCACAGAAATTGAAAAATCTCAATCTTCTTTAAATTCTCAATCAATTTTGGTTGATTCCTTTTTCCACTGATTTTAAAGTTGGCTTTTTTTCCTTTGGACAAATTGATAAAAATATTTTCCTTTACCCTCTAGTATTTCAATAATAATGATTATATTAACAGTAGGTGAACCTTGCATATCTTTTAAATCATTAGCATTGAGTGAATGGGGCGAGAAGAAGAAGAAAATTTAGTAAGAAAATAGTTTAGATAAACTCATTTCAATTGCAAATGATGTTGAATTATTTTCCATTATGAAGACATTAACTTTTATAACGAGCAGAGTGAGAGGGTTAAGGGAAGATGAGTTGATTTGCTGAGGATGGAGCTTTGATGATTATGTATTTCTTTTTTTCCAATCCTTTAACGATCACTAGCTTTTTTTTACTTTTATTATACCAGCTTTAGTTCAAGTCATTTCCATTGATAGGTCAGTGTAGGGTTGCATCTATTGTGATACATAATTGGTTCCGTTATCTCAAGCTGTTGATGAGCATCACAGCTCATTAAGACTTCATTGCTTGATTGTTGAATATCCAAGGAATGAATGAAAAACCATTAAATTGTCCTTCAACTTGTACGAATGGCTTTGCCTTTAAATTGGTTTAACTTTAAAGTTGCTATTTATGTGATTACGATCAAATTGTTTGGCAGTTTGCCTGGCTTGAAAAAAAAGGTCCATCTTATTGGATAAACAGACGATGTTGATGATGGCAAATTATTTGCTGCATTTTGCTGTTAGCTGTTAGGGGTTTTGTTCAAATAGATACAAAGTTAAGCTGGTTCCAATTGTGATGAACTCGATGAGCAAACGAAAAAAAAATCTGATTAAGATGCTGATCATCCCTTTCCTTTTTCGCCTCTCTTTTTCTCATTCTCTCCTCTATTGTCTTATTTCAGCCATTTATACATTAATTCATTTACTTTTCTTTCATCTTTCTCTTTACTTTTTCTTCCTCCTCCTCCTAATTTGATGTTGATCAATTCCCAATAGAACTGAGAAGGTTTAACCAGAATAGAGGAAATGATGATTCGGAAGGAGAAGGAGCAACCAATTGTTATACTTCATCTAGTGAACATTCAATGGATACCGTAATTTTCTGTGGTAAATCCTTGAGATCTTCATACAATAATAATGGTAATCATAATGAGAATAATAATCATAACATTCCGGGTTCAATGAAAAGTTCAGTAAAACCAAAAGTGCCCAATGGTTCATCATTAGAGCCACGAATCACACCGTGCCATACCGTGAATAAATCATCCAATCAAACCTTGAATTTGATTCAACAGCAACAACAGCAACAGCAGCTTCTTCAGTCTTCACCAGTTCCTCAAGCGTCTTCAACAGCCTCATCGACATCACCTTTACACAACCATTTAACGGTTGTTCAACATTCAATGGATGTTTGTATCAAACATAAAAACCAATTGGATAAGAAATGTTTCAACACCAAAAAGCTAGTCTGTGACATTGGAACTTCACCTTTACACAAAAGCCTTAACTGTAGTAATAATTTAAATAAAATTGCCAAATGTGATGAACTTTGGATAGATAAGCCTAAACGAGCCAAACGTAAAAAGCCTCCTCAGCCTAGAATCTCAGGTGTTGAGTTGTGGGTTGATGGTCCTCACGCAGTACCACTTAATCAGCCAAATGAATCCTCTCAGTGTGTTGATTATACTGACAAACAGCAAAGGATAACTGAATGGGTCAATCAGCATGCCAAAACAGTTTTAATTGCAAATCAATCTTGTACAGGTAGCTGTAAAACTCCAGTAAAAAATATAACTCCAGCAACATCCTCAAAATCCAATTCATCCAATGGTGCCAATGGGACGTGTATTGAGCTTATAAATCTTCCAAGTCCTTATCATGTACGTGTATCTGAATCAAAAATTAAGGAAAAGAATAACATTAGTCAAGATAAAATCATTGAAACCAAAGAAATGGCTTGTCAAACTGATCAAATAGATTCACAGAATGGTGAAAAGGAGAAGAAAAGTGTTTTACAGGAGCTTAACACTGAGGAAACATTGATTCTTCTGAGTAACCTTCATGATGATGATGAGCTGCAAAACGATGATTGGACTGATGGACGAAGATTAATGTTGTTAGAGAGAGGAGCTCTCAGTGATTGCTGTGATAATCAAATTTGCTGTTGTTGTTCAAGTCCATTAACATCTGATGGTGAAGAGGATGATGTCCTAAAGGATGAAAAGAACGTTAAAGATGATAATAATGGTAAAACTGAAATAAATGTAAACAGCGAAAAGAATGGCGAAAATCAAAACAATTTAGATAATGTTGAAATAAAAAGTGAATCAAACGACTTGACTGAGCCACCAGGGCAGTTAAAGTTGGAGCAATTTCTTAAACAACTGATTACAGTTACAAATCCAATATTAAATAATAAACTCAACAATGACACTGATAGTGATAATTTGAAAAACAAAAAAATTAACAATGAAAATATTCATCGACACCACCAACATCATAACCATCACCATCATCATCACCATCAAAATCATCAACATTCAGAAGAAAAGAAACATCAAAATTATACAAATTATGATTCTTTGCCGCCAAGACGATTGACTCGATCCCGCCTTCATGGATCCAGATACTTTGTATACGGATCTCATCAGGATTTAACACATTGTATAGCCAATGAAGCTAGAAATGGATCCGTTATCGACTCATCTGTTGAAGAGAAGACATGTGTTCCTGTTAATTTTGTAATTACAAATGATTTACCAATTACGGATGATTGTCCAAAAAATCATGTTGCTTTTATCCCAACTTCGCCTCGCATCAACCGTATTTTGGGTAAGTTATTGCTCCTTAACTGTTGAAATCTTTTTGTATAATCTTTCTGTGTAATCTTTCGAAGCTTAATCCGTTGAAACCTTCAAGTTTTGGCTAATCCATTTTGTTTTTTTAATCCGATTCTCTATTAGGTGGACCTCCAGGTAAAGGAGAATGTTTAAGTGTAACAAATAGTCCATCTAAATCATCCAGGAAACAGAGTTTTAGCAAGCGAGATACAACTTCAACCACAACCAGTGGCCATGGAACAACAAGTGAAGGCGATGATAGATCAAGTGTAACCAAAAAATCATCCGATTCCTCATCTAGTCCATCTCAACATCATCATCACCATCATCATCATGGCCAGACTCAGGGACCGGCCTCAAGTGGATATGATAGTACCATTAAAGATGAAGAAAGTGATCGTGAGCTGGTTGAAAATGTCAATAAAAGTGTTACCAAAGAGTTGATTGGAAATAATAATAGTTCTAGTTCTATTGCTAATCATATTAATAACAGTAATAATATTGTTTGTAATTCTAATAGTAACAATAACAATAATAGTAATAACAATAACCAACAGGCTAGTTGCAATATTGTTAAGAGTTCTGTTAAAATGAGAGATAAATCTGACAAAAATCGGAAAAATAGAAAAGAGAAAGAGAAAGAAAAGGATAAACGGGAATCATTATCTTCAGATAAATGCTCTTTTCTTTGCTGTAAATTGACTTCTTTTTATTGAACAACCAAAGAATCTATTAATTGATATTGATCATTGTTTGCCAAAGTCCCCTGTATGTGTTAAATTGAAACAAAACCAAACCAAAAAAAAATCAACGCAAAACAAAATTACGAGGTAAACTATTGAATTGTCTTAACAAAATGTTTTCACAAAGTTTTTTCTATGTATTATTCCATAAATGAATCCATTTTATAACCAATGTAATTAAACTGTCTGATTTTACTTTAATCTCATTGCTTAGCTTTGCTAATAAATTTGTCACCTTTGAAATTGGGTGAATCGATGAAATCTTATTTTTACTTTTATTAATATTTTCTCTTGTCAATTAATTTAGCCACAAATACGGTCCTCAAATCTATTAGTGAAACTGGATGGAAGTTAAAGGAAGGAAATTATAAATTTAATGGCAGAATAAAGCAAACATGTCGACATTGATCTTCTTTTACAGTTAACCAATAAACTCATCAAGTAAATTTCAAATCAGAATATAAAAGATTAATCTGTCTTGGAGTTGATGAAAAAAACAAGTCAATATTCATTATTGTTTCTTGCATGATAGTCCAAAGATTTTGAATATTTGATATGAAGTGATAAGGTAAACTATTTCAAATGTGTTTTAAAATAAAAAAGACTTCGGAAGATTTGATATTTAATTATTGATGTTATTTATTGTAATTGTGTGAGGCAGAGTATTAAAGAATTGTCTGAATCGCGAATGAAAATTAGGTGCTCTGACTGCTGGTGACATCTTTTACAGCTGAAAGTCAACTCACAGAGTCTCATTTGTTTTGCTTTATAAAATCATGTTGATCAATTTTTACAAATAAAATTTACATTTACCGTTGTTTTTTGTTTTATAATCAATTTCGAAGTTAATAATGTAAATTTTGAAACTATTTCACCTTAATCTAATGTCATGTAATGTAATGTCAATCGAGTAGAGGAATCTGTTAAAATGAAATAAAATAGATGACCATGGTTTAATACTGATGCGGTGTTTATTGAAAATACGCATTAAGCGCAAGCAGTTATAAATTACTCATTAAATTAATGACTTCTGCAAACTTGATGGAATTCCAGTTTACTTAAAGGTCGGTACATGAGCTGGAAGTGACTGCTGGCTCTTCCTTTGTTGATTCAACCCAGATGGTGTAAACACACTCTTCTTTGGCAGCCTGTAATGCAAAATAAAAAGGTAGGTTGTAATTCAATGATTTAACTGATAAAAGTGTATTTCAAGTGTGATTAATACTTACACCTTGTCCAACTGGACAGAGTTTGGCACCAGCATCTTGTTTGGCGCAGTTAGTATCGGCGAGGACCAAAGTGAGTTCGTATTTCATACCATTGACGACTTGTTGCTTAGCAGACTTAATCTCGACGAGGGTTCGGTAGTAAAGAGAGTTGATTTGGCTGTTTCGGTGTTCAGTGGCGACTTGAGCAAGATCTTTGATGGTTTCACTGTTGGCATCAGAAGTTTGCCATCCACCGAATCTGAATTGGTGTGAGGCTCCGATTAAACAGACGGCAATAACGAGAATAAGTTTCATTTTGGAAATGGGTGTTTGTTGGTTTGTTGATCACTGGTAACGGATTCAAATTAAACTGGTTAATTATTAGCCATTTGGTTTGTCTTTATATAACTCAAGGATAATCTCTCGTTAATTAAGATCTATCGTATTCTGGGAAAAACAATGGTGTGCGTCATGGCTATTGTTGGGATCATCGATTCACAATCGATTCCATTGTTATTCACATTTCTCATTGTTCATAGATAAGATGATAAAGGAAAAGAATGGATTTAAAATGCCTGATAATTACAAAGGTTGAATATTATTTCGTATCATTCTGTCGATCTGGTTTTATCCCAATCAATATCCTAGGATTGAACCATCACGGTGTTAACAATCTTGATCAGTGTTCAACAATTAATACTATTCAGATTATTAGAATGTAAGTTACAACCTTTATACCTGTGATCAAATTCAATTTGATCAGTATGGGTGCTGTAATCTAGATGAGCTAATCAAGTGAATCTAGTGACAAAGTACATATGATATGATTTTACGATTAATGTTAATGTCCAGCAATTTTCTTGTGGCTATAAACAACTATCGGTTTCGGTTCATAAAATTTAATAGGAATATTTTCATGCTCATTCAAGTTTATAATGTTAGATATCAATACAATAGTTAGTAACGTGATAGCGAGACTTTGTTATCAATCAACTGATTTGTAAGCAAAAAACTCTAACAACCTTTTCTAAGTTTTAAGTACCAAGTTAACCAGAAAATATCCATTGTTATATCAATTATAATCATTTCTTTGTTTTTTCTTACAGAAAATTTTGCAATGACTGATCCAAATTACAAGCCTCATTCAAAGGTTCAATGTCATCATGATATTACGTTCGATTAGTGATATTAAAGGAGGAAGGCCAAAACTGCCTGAAAAAAGAAATTTCTTGTGATGAACGTATATGATGTAAAACTATATGCTGAATTCATTTCGTCAATCCATTTTCAAAATAATGATTTCGTTTTTGAGATATCATGAAATAACGTAGAAATGCATGGGAAAGAATAGCAAAATAATCAAAGGTGAAAGCACTTTCTAGATAACTTTTTCAGATGTAAAATTCAATTCCGATTTCAGTGGAGTGATTCATTTTGACCAAAACTGGCGCAAAACTGGCCATTTTTTCGAAAAATGTAATACTGTCAAACCCCCGATAATGTCACACTCTCAAAATGTCACAGAGTCATGGTAACGAAATTAAAAAATTTAATTTAATTCAGTTTTTTAATTAAATAAATTTTGCAAGGACTTCAATAATGGTTTTAATTGGGTATATTATACGAATTGCCCAATTAAACATCAAAAATCTCAAAATTAAATTCAAAATTAATTTTTTTTGTTAAATAAGATTCGTAAAAAGGCTATTCCACCTAGAAATAGCCAAAACGCTAATCCCACGAAGTGACATTATTGGAGGTTTGATAGTAGCTCAACGGTATTGAAAATATAAATTGATAACCAAAGGTGGCAGCACTTTCCAAATAACTTTTCTAGATGTAAAATTCAATTCTGATTTTAGTGGTGTGATTTATTTTAATCAAAACTGGCGCAAAATGGCCATATACGATTTTCATTGACAGAGAGCTGTTACATTTATCGAAAAAAAATGGCCAGTTTTGCGCCAGTTTTGGTCAAAATGAATCACTCCACTGAAATCGGAATTGAATTTTAAATCTGAAAAAGTTACCTAGAAAGTGCTTTCACTTTTGATTATTTTGCTATTCTTTCCCATGCATTTCTAACGTTATTTCATGATATCTCAAAAACGAAAAATTATTTTGAAAAATGGATTGAAGAAATGAATTTAGCATATAGTTTTACATCATACATAATTATAAGAAAAATTTTTCATGCTAGGCAGTTTTTCCTATTCTTTTGGTCTTCATCCTTTAAGTCAGATAATCAAAAGTAAGTGAAAAGAGTGAATAAACAAAAATCCAAGTTAGTTCAAGTCCCCAATCTTGACTTTTAAACTTCATAAGTCCAGTCATTCAACAGCAACAGTGAAAACTCTTAGCATTAAGCCGAGCAAAACTGCCAAATGAAAGTGCACTTGATGCCTTTTTCCTCCCTTTTAGTGGAATAAACTTGGTATTGCTAAACCAAGAGTCAATGAAATGGTCGCCAATGATGAGACGAAACTTGGAGTTATAACAAATAGACCAGCAAAGGTAAAACCAGCATCAAAGCGTCCAACTCGAAGTAAAAAAAGATTAATCTGCAAATATTAAAAGGTTTACATTAAAATTGAATGTTTGTTTCAGATAACTTTGATTTCATCATTAAATGCATTTACAAAATACCTCATTAGAGTATTCAAATGAACCAGATTTAGTCAAGGTAAGTGAATAAACTTTATCAAATATACCAACAGATAGCTGATTTACATGGACAAAAGCATAAGTTACTATGAGCATATAACTGAACTCGCCAATCATTCGTATTAAATGTCGTATCAGCATGTACCAAGAATCGTAAATTGATTCGAAAAAAAAGTCAAATGAAAAGATGCAATTGAGAGCAAAGTAAACGTAATAAGAGAATGTTATTAAAAAGAAAAATGAATCTATGCATTTGGATGCTTCCGTTGCTTTCATGAATAATGAACGATTCCGTTTCAATAGAGGAACAATATTTTCCTCACTGATGGTTGCACACATAGAGTCTAAATTTTCAATGCGAGCACTGATTACATAAAATGTTGCTTGAAGATAGACACAAGTTTCAATAACAAAATGAACAAAACAAGACCAACAAGCAGCATCGGTAACCATCAAAATATAATAAGTAATCAACTTGATATGCGAAAAATTTATGGTGAAAAATGCCTTTGATATCCGTGAATTGTCAACTACAGCAGAGTCAATTAAAATTTCGTAAACGAAAAAAATGACCACCAATTTGTTCATCGTTGCTTTTTTCGTGACAACAAATTCATTGGCAACAGACTCATAGCCATGAACTATTGTAGCGCAAGAGGCTAGAAATTTATTGTACAATGATTGATTGATCATTAAACTGAAGTAAGTATAAGTAGTAATTAATCTGTAAGCAAATCTCCAGAGCGTATCGTATTTGACGATATCGTTTGGGAATCCATTTGTGAATAATTTGTTGAAGATGAGGTAACATTCAAAAAAACCTCTCATTGCATATGCAATCGACAGCACTAAATGGATTATTCTTGTGGTTAAATTTTTCTTTGAAACTGATTGAGCCAAAATACTTGAAGGTTGAACAAGAATAGACTTTTTTATTGAGTTGGCAAACGTGATGGTTGACATTTCAACGAAAATTAAATTAACAGTTAAAGTTGACAAGCTGATTCATTCCATTTGCAATATTAATATTTGCTGTATTAAGCTGTATGTGGCATTTTGCATTTGCTCGTTGGCACAATTTATTTTGACCAAAGTTTGGTCACCAAACCATTCACTTTATCTTTTTTCAATGACTCACGATTGTTCAATCATCTTTTGACGTAAATTTAGCTTATGTAGCGTACCATCGAAATAATCGTTTTATTTAATGTGTCAATTGAAACAGCATTGTTATTGAAAGAATGGCATCTTGATTTTTATGCATCTATTGAATCTTGTTCTGGACAAGAAAATGCACTAAATCAATAATATTTGGCCAGTTTTTGTTCCATTTTAATATTTTCCTTCTTTTGTAATGAATCAAATCGAATGTTGTGCATTTAGACACAAAAGTAAATGAATGAAAGGAAAATTAATTTTCTAACAGTTAACAATTACCAAATCGATCACTTGGGACAATTGAGATTATTTTGAGGGCGATTCTTGTCAATATAATTATTTTCATGTTTGGATAGGTTTGGACCAATATTTTTGACCAATTTACCTGTAAACATAATTTGTATATAATTGCATAATGCAGAGTATTGTTAAATTGTCGGAATCACAAAAAGCATCTTCACAGCTTGTGATAATTCCCATCTCAAAAGTTCAGAGTCACATTTTTTGGCTTTGTAAAATTGCGTTGACCAATTTTGTTTTACAATCAAAGTTATGAGACTGCATTTTTTGACCGCAATCTTATATTAACCGAGTAAAAAAATAAAAAGATGAACAAGGTTTGTTGCTGATTGATTGTTCATTGAAATTACGGATTAAGCGAAAGCAGTTAAAATAAAAAACAGAAAACTATGAAAACAAAGATGTGCGTCATGACTATTGTTCATGTTAGTACCTGTATACCTATTATCAAATTTACTTATCATGGGTGCTATTGCTGCAATCTTCACAGGAGAGCAGAATCCTTTCATATCCTGATTCAAAGCTAGATAACTTCTGATAACAGCCGAAAATAACCGAATAACATTACGCCCTATTTTGTGATTGATTATTCATATTCAGTAACCAAGCCCAATGCAACTAGTGTCAATGTTGCATCTGAAGTTTTTTCAGATACATGACTTTTGAAATTGTAACTAAAAACTAAGATTATATACTGTGATTCTAAGATTTGATTGGTTAATAGACTATCAGATCATAACGATCTTGGGCTGTGAGCTTAGGATGACAAAAAATAGATAAATAAATCTGGTTGCTCGATGCCTCAAGGCGCCCCAGCTATAAAAGATTTGTTTTTGGGTGGAAAGTTTTAGGTCAACATGATAAAAATTAATAAATATTTGAGGATACTAGAAATTCAATGAAATTCTTAGTTTGATCAATTTAACTCAGGTGGACTGTTGAGGAACAGAATAGCATGTCAGATTGAAGTTCATACTAAATTGTATGCATCATTTTTGTGACGCGAATCTGCTCAATCTTGAAACAATTATTGAATTGTGAACAAAACAAAGCTAAATTGTTCTAAACCGCCTTTCCTGAACTATATTTCTTCAGTTGATTGCTTCATGAAGGTAAAAATAAAATACATAATGCTCCATGTCATAAGTTAATTTAGACAAAAAAATTTTGAATTCAAACGATATGTCGATAGGCCTCCGAATTCACCTGACATTAACCTCATCGAAAATTGTTGGGGTTAAGTAGTACGAAAACATACGCTTCAACTCCACAGACCGGAAACGGAATTACCTCCACCCCCTTTCGCATGACTGATTTCACGCTCGGTTGACTTAACGCTCGACTGACTTAACGGCTGACCTTGACACCGTCTTTCGATATTAATGTTTTTAATGCTTGAATGATTTTTGACACCGTCTTTCGATATTAATGTTTTTAATGCTTCGATAGTTTTGCACTTGACCGTTTGACACCATCTTACGGTATCTATTGTTTTAAATGCTTCAATGATTCTTTAATTGTTCAAGGTTGAACCTGAATGAAAGAAGGGAAACGAATGTTTCCCTTCTGGAATTGACAAGTATAAATAGTAGAGTACAAAGACATAAGCTTCAGTAATTACCAATGTATGCAATTGTTTATGTATTAATGTTAATATTTGCTTTAATTATCGTTTTATTATTCAAAGAATACTTTTATATTGTTCTAGATGCGCATTGTTAATATCGTATCACTATGGGACCTTGGAAAAAGGATCCGTTTAGCTGCAAGAATGACCAAGTTCAATGCCGATGTAATTAAAGAAGGAAAAAACTGTTTATTACTTTTTGAATCCGGTAAAATGATTGCTACAGGTTTTAAAAGATTAAATGAAGTTAAAAAATTCATAAAGTCACGTTTTCCAAGTGCAAAATTCGTTAAAATTGTGAATATGACATCAGTTGCACATATTCGTGGTTAGATTAATTTAATTGGTCTTTCTTACGAACCGGAAATCTACCCTGCACATGTCTGGAAGAATAAGAACCTTTGTGTTGTGTATTATGCTTCTGGAAAATTAATTGTTACTGGCGGAAAAACGCATAATGAGCTTCGTGATGCATATCGAGAGTTTAAGAAGAAGACAAGTATAAAAAGAGATGATGTTGATCAAAAAGATCAGTAAAGTAACTGAAATCATAATGTCAACTTTAAACTGGCACTCTTTGAAAGCCGTGAAAATCAACGACCTCCGTCTAACCCTATCATGGGCAACAGACGCAACTGCAGCCCCATTCTGAACATTGATCACGTACGCGAACGAGCTGTTGAGAACTTTCTTGGACTGGTTGCTCGTTTGATTGATGTTGTTGTTGTAATGCCTGATTGTTGCGGCGGGAGGAGCGAAGGGTCAGTTGAGTGTTGGCTGTATAAGAAAAAGCAAAAAGCAAAACAAAATTAGACTGAAAACAAATCATGGAATAAGAAAAAGAATCCTTACCGTTTTCCATCATGAAAGCAGATAAGAATTGGCGAAATATGATTTGAAAAGAGGGGAAAAAAGAAAGTTTATCGTTGAAACTCTTGAAAATAACTGATGCTTTTCTGAAAAAAGTTTCAGCTTAAATACAAGACTCTCAAACAACTTTGAAATAAATTAGTGCACTTGACAGCTAAATAATTTCATTAATCACTTTACAATTCACGAAAAGGGAAAAGCCAGCTTATGAACTATCTCCTTATTTGGTAAAAAAGTAATTCCCTGAATCACTTTACATTTCAAACATCATGAAAAGGGCGAACCAGCTCATGAATAATCTCCTTATTTGGTGAAAAAGTAATTCCCTGAATCTCAATTCATGAAAAGGATAAAACCAGCTCATAAATAATCTCCTTATTTGGTAAAAAAGTAATTCCATTAATCACTTTGCATTTAAAACAACATAAACTCATTATTTGATCAATTAATTCTCATGTTTGAGAATAGTAAATGTGATAAATCACCTCATCTGTCAGCTTAAACTGAATCAACATGCTTGAGAAAACAAGAATTGAATAATCAAGTCATTGCACTCATATGATAAAACTTAATCAGGTGAAGAAATCAAGCATAATTAGGTTGATAGATAATAAAGCTTTGAAATGAACCTAAATGAGAGAATTAGCATAAAAGAAGTGGTAAAGCCAATTTTGACATTTGAACATTTGACCCTAACTAATTATACTTGTCAATTCCAGAAGGGAAATATTCGTTTCCCTTCTAGCATTCAAAAATCATTCAAGCATTAAAAACATTAATATCGAAAGACGGTGTCAAGGTCAGCCGTTAAGTCAGTCGAGCGTTAAGTCAACCGAGCGTGAAATCAGTCATGCGAAAGGGGGGTGGAGGTAATTCCGTTTCCGGTCTGTGGAGTTGAAGCGTATGTTTTCGTACTACTGGGTTACATTACACAAAGATTTCAAAAGTAAAAATTTAAAATTCAAAAGATTTGTAAGCAAAGATGTAATGTCTTTTTGGGATGATCTTGATGGCTCTTATTCGTTTTGATTTTCCCCACATCTGTCTGTTTGAAATCTATTAATGAATGCTTTTTTGTACTTTTTTATCTTCAAATATTTAAAAGACCGAGCTCATTTAGATCATTAAATACATTAAATGTTTTTCGTATTTTATACCTTACTTCATACTTTAAAACGTATATTTAACTAAATATACGTTTTAAAAAAAACACAAAGCTGATGGCGCTCGATCTATCGAGTAACCGATGGTTGTAACCGATTTAATCTCGACGAGGGTTCGGTAGAAAGGGAGTTGATTCGTTGCGTTGACCAATTTTGTTTTACAATCAAAGTTATGGAATTAAATTTTTGACCAAGTGCATTTTTGATGCAATTAAAAAAAATTTGCTAAAATAAAAAGATGATCAAGGTTGAATGCTCATTGTTTGTTTATTGAACTATTACAGGGTGTTAATTAAAGAACTTTAGACGTTCGAATACTATATTTTCTGAGACTGTTGCTCGAAGCTTGAATCACAACGTCACAGTTAAACCTCTCAGCACAAGGACAAGCGACACCACCAAGTGAAGTACAAGTATACTTATTGATGCCTTTTTCCTCCCTTTTAGCGGAATAGACTTGGTATTGCTAAGCCAAGAGTCAGTGAAATGGTCGCCAATGATGAGACGAAACTTGGAGTTATAACAAATAGACCAGCAAAGGTAAAACCAGCATCAAAGCGTCCAACTCGAAGTAAAAAAAGATTAATCTGCAAATATTAGAAGGTTTACATTAAAATTGAATGTTTGTTTTGGATAACTTTGATATCATCATTAAATGCATTTACAAAAATACCTCATTAGAGTATTCAAATGAACCAGATGTAGTCAAGGTAAGTGAATAAACTTTATCAAATATACCAACAGACAGCTGATTTACATGGATAAAAGCATAAGTTACTATGAGCATATAACTGAACTGACCAATCATTCGTATTAAATGTCGTATCAGCATGTACCAAGAATCTTTAATTGATTCGAAAAAAAAGTCAAATGAAAAGATGCAATTGAGAGCAAAGTAAACGTAATAAGAAAATATTATTAAAAAGAAAAATGAATTTATGCATTTGGAGGCATCAGTTGCTTTCACGTATAGCAAGCGATTCAATCTCAACAGAGGAGCAATATTTTCCTCCCTAATAGTTGAGAACATGGAGTCTAAATTTTCAATACGAGCACTGATTACATAAAATGTTGCTTGAAGATAGACACAAGTTTCAATGATGAAATGAACAAAACAAGTCCAACAAGCAGCATTGGTAACAATCAAAATATAATAAGTAATCAACTTGATTTGAGAATAATTTACGGTTAAAAATGCCTTTAATATCCGTGAGCTGTCAACTATTAAAATTTCATAAACGAAAAAAATGAATACCAATTTTTTCATCGTTGCTTTTTTCCTGACAACAAATTCATTGGCAACAGACTCATAGCCATGAATTATTGCATGGCAAGAGACAAAGAATTTATTGTACAATGATTGGTTGATCATCAAACTGAAGTAGATATAAGCAATAATGAATCTGTAAGAAAATCTCCAGAGCGTCTTGTATTTGACGATACTATTGGTGAATCCATTTATGAACAATTGGTTAAAGATGAGGTAAGATTCACATGAAACTTTCATTGCATATGCAATCAACAGCACTAAATGAATTATTCTTGTGGTCAAATTTTTTTTTAAAACTGATTGAGCCAAAACACTTGAAGGTTGAACAAGACTATCATTTTCAAATGAGTTGACAAATATGATTGTCGACATTTCAACGAAAATCAAAGGGGAAATAATCACTTTCATTTGCTTCACTAACAGTTAAAGTTGACAAGCTGATTCATTCCATTTGCAATATTAATACAAAATGGTATTTGCTGTATTAAGTTGTATGTGGCATTTGAATTTTGCATTTCGGCGCAATTTATTTTGACCGAACCATTCACTTTCAATCTTTTACAATAACTCATTGATCAATCATCTTTTGACGTAAATTTAGCTTATGTAGCGTGCCATCGAAACACAAGTTAACTCACTTTCCCAAAATTGTCACAGGAAATTGAATAATGAAAAAACAATTGCATTATAAAATCAATCGTATTTCAACCAATTCAATTAGATTAACGGAACAAAATAGACTAATCAATTTAACAGTGTAAAAATTGAAAATCAATTTATTGTGACAATTTTGGGATTTATGTAACAATTGAAATAGCATTGTTATTGAAAGAATGGCGTTTTTATGCATATATTGAGTCTTGTACTTGACAGGAAAATAAAAATAAAAACATAAAAATCAATAATATTTGTTCAGTTGTTGTTTCATTTTAATATTTTCCTCCTTTTGTACTATGAATCATGATCAGTTACATTCACTCGACGCGTGGGTGAATCGATTCACTTTTGATTGATTCGCTTCTGTGATACATAATCTGTGAGTAGAGGTCGTGACCTAAATGCAAACCATCGTTTTTACCGTATGTATGCATTACAATACCTAAAAATAATCGGAAATTACAAATTGAAAGTTTTTGAAAAATACTTTTTGTGTGAATTGTACACACATATGCAAGGACTCCACTGGTTTTAGATGATAACTTTTCTAATATTTTTTTAATGAAAAATCGTTGCATGTTCGTTATCAGGACCCGCACATATACAGATACACATATACACGTGTATTCAGAACCGACACGCTTTCAATGCTCGCCTAGTTATCACGAATAGCATCTTCACTGCTTGTGATAACTCCCATCTCAAAAAGTTAACTCACATAGTCACATTTGTTTGGCTTTGTAAAATTGCGTTGACCAATTTTGTTTACATTCAAAGTTATAAAATTAAATTTTTGACCGCAATTAAGCGAGTAAAAAAAATTTGCAAAAAATAAAAAGATGACCAAGTTTGAATGCTGATTGTTTGTTTATTGAAATTACGGATTAAGCGAAAGCAGTTCGAACTAGCTCATTGAATGAATGACTTCTGTAAATTTGATTGAATTCCTGTTTACTTAAAGGTCGGTACATGAGCTAGAAGTGACTTCTGGAGCTTCCTTTGTTGATTCGATCCAAATGGTGTAAACACACTCTTCTTTGGCAGCCTGTAATACAAAATGAGCACAAATAATAATAAAAATAATAATTTAATTGGCAAAAGTAATTTTATTGTATGATTAGTACTTACGCCTTGTCCAACTGGACAGAGTTTGGCACCAGCATCTTGTTTGGCGCAGTTAGTATCGGCGAGGACCAAAGTGAGTTCGTATTTCATACCATTGACGACTTGTTGCTTAGCAGATTTAATCTCGACAAGGGTTCGGTAGTAAAGAGAGTTGATTTGGCTGTTTCGGTGTTCAGTGGCGACTTGAGCAAGATCCTTGATGGTTCCACTGTTGGCATCAGAAGTTTGCCATCCACTGAATCTGAATTGGTGTGAGGCACCGATGAAACAGACGGCAATAACGAGAATAAGTTTCATTTTGGAATTGGATGTTTGTTTGTTGTTTCTTGATCACTGGTAATTGATTCAAATTAAACTGGTTAATTATTAGCCAGTTGGTTTGTCTTTATATAACAAAAGCTCTAATTAATCTGTGGTAGGGTTTCAGTTAAAAACAATAACAAATAGATCATTATGGGATGGTTCATAGATGAGATTGATAAAGTAAAAGAAAGGATTCCAAATACTTGATAATTAAAAGGTTGAACAATATTTCGTATCATTCTGATAATCAGTTTATCTTCACCAATATCCTTTTAGGATTGGACCATCACGGCGTTGACAATCGCATCAATGTTCAATAATCATTAATATCGCTCATATTATCAGAATGTAAGTACCATTATACCTATTATCAAGTTATATTGACGTTACTCAGTATGGTGCTGATGCTTGATCAAGTGAATCTAGTGAAAAAGTAATTCAAATTATTTTGAGATATGCAATAATGTCCAGAGAAATTTGGCAATATTTGTCCAAATTATGTTCCTCTTTCAATGGTTCCATACCAGTATGTTATTAAGTGATATTGAATTTTCCAAGAGATAGTGGAACTTGCAAAGGAAATGGAATCATTAAACTTGATAATTTAAACTGTAATAACGTGACTAATGAATACGTATTTTTAAAAATAAACTTGCACTTGACGAATAAAGTATTCATGTAAATCGTATTTGATTTCGTATAAAAAATGAAAATTTTATTTGATTGGAAATTCCACTTAAAATGTGATGAAAAGTTTGATTTTAATTTGAAAAGTTGAAATAAAATATGCATGTCATGAAACGATTTTGTGCATAAAGATGAATCCAAAACTGTGCAAAGACTTTAATAAGCCAGAGTTAATTACCAAAATGATTATCATGAAAATGAAGCAAATTTCAACATTTTTTGTTCCTCATTGTAAAGTTTACTACTCAAATGATTGTAAGTCATTTCAAAATCAAGTTGAATGAAAGAAAAATGATATTTTTAATTGTTTTCAAATAATGAATATTCGTTTCTTTCAATAAATCATCCGGAAAAGTTGACATTCAAGTAGAGATGAACTCACTATTTATCATTAAAGCATCACAATGAGTTGATTTCAATTTGGCATCAAACTTACGATAGTTTTCGTTAGTTATTAACCAACTCCGTGTCACAATGCTATGAATAAAATTTATTTCAAAGGAATAACCAAAGTGAATGTAAAATGGATGAACTTCCTGGTTTTCATCGTTACCTTAAATATCAATTCAATAGTTTAAATTATTTGCAAACCTCTGAATCAGTGCAAATTAAATGGTTTTTCCCAACTACCTTCATAGTCATCACTGTCAGCTTAATTAAACAGTTGATTAATCTGAGTCTAAGTGAAGTAAATAGTTTCTCTTATTATATTGGTGACATTACGTTGGTTGCTGGACACACTCGTAAACACTTAACGTTAATATATTTTGCTTGGTTTTTTGGTGGTTTCGGTACCGTACTGACTCTTTACAGATCACAGTTTGACCGTTCGCTACAAAAATGGGCAAGAATTGGAGTAATTTTTGAACATCTTGATTCAACGCAAATTCATCCTTATTCTGGTTTACCAACAATTGTACACAGAATTTTTATCCATTTCTGTAATGGTGCACTAATTGGAGCTGCACTCGCTTCCTTTCTTTGCGTTTTACCTTCTTTCCTCATTTATCCGACAAAGTACTTGATCTATCTAATTTTTTGGCTGATACTCACAGTAGCTGCTGGATCATCTGTTGTTTGCAACGGAGCCAATTTTTTGCTTCTTTTCACTGCATCAGCATACATTTTCGGTAGGCGAGTACATGAAGAGACTTTGATTTTGGTGGATAAAGTTGCAGAAAAGTGCGAATCGTTCCAGCCGTTGAACTCAATCATCAAACATTCAGTCAAAAGACTTACTCTTATATTGATTCACCAAATTGAGGAATACAAATTTTGGGTCATTTTGAATCAAAACGGTTTTCTATCAACATATAATGCTCAGTTCATTTTGAATTATTTAATTTTTTTCATTGATATACCAAAGTTTTTACGAATATCTTTGATAATATTTACATTCATTAACTTGGCCGTTGGACTGTCATTCAATTTTCTAGTTTGTACTTATGCACAGCACAAGGTTATATTAATAGTTAGCATGTCAGTTAATTCAAGGTAAATGTATAGATAATTAACTGATGTCTTTTTTGCTTCTTTCAGATTCATGGATATTGTTCTAATTTGAGACAGACTCTAAATGAAAACATATCGATCCGCACAAAATTACGAACATTAATTTTTCTGGAAAATGTTGAAAATCGTTACTTTTTTGTCATTTTTGGTGCTTTGAATTACTCTACTCATCATTTTATAATAGTGAGTGGATTTTTAAATGATTTGGGAGATTAATGAAAGCTTACTTTGGAAATGTTAAATTTAATTTGAAATTAATATTTTATTCACTTACTTTCACAGATTTTGCTGGAAAATATAACGAATCTGCTTCTCCTGATCGCCTCATTGAGAAGGCAAAATTAGCAGTGCATAGTTGGTCAATTAATCAAGCATGTTACAACTTGATTTTTAAACAATGTGAATCCCAAACAGGAATTCATTATTATTGCTATGACATTATCTTGACTAATGATTAAATTCATTTTCAACCCTTTTAGTGGAATAGAGTTGGTATTGCTAAACCAAGAGTCAATGAAATGGTCGCCAATGATGAGACGAAGCTTGGAGTTATAACAAATAGACCAGCAAAGGTAAAACCAGCATCAAAGCGTCCAACACGAAGTAAAAAAAGGTTAATCTATAAATATTAGAAGGTTTACATTAAAATTGAATGTTTTTTTTGGATAACTTTGATATCATCATTAAATGAATTTATAAAAATACCTCATTAGAGTATTCAAATGAACCAGATTTAGTCAAGGTAAGTGAATAAACTTTATCAAATATACCAACAGACAGTTGATTTACATGGACAAAAGCATAAGTTACTATGAGCATATAACTGAACTGACCAATCATTCGTATTAAATGTCGTACAAGCATGTACCAAGAGTCGTAAATTGGTTCGAAAAAAAAGTCAAATGTAAAGATGCAATTGAGAGCAAAGTAAACGTAATAAGAAAATGTTATTGTAAAGAAAAATGAATTTATGCATTTGGAGGCTTCAGTTGTTTTCATGTACAATGAACGATTCAATCGCAATAGAGGAACAATATTTTCCTCACTGATGGTTGCACACATAGAGTCTAAATTTTCAATGCGAGAACTGATTACATAAAATGTTGCTTGAAGATAGACACAAGTTTCAATGATGAAATGAACAAAACAAGACCAACAAGCAGAATCGGTAACGATGAAAATATAGTAAGCAATCAATTTGAGATATGAATAACGAATAGTGAAAAATGCCTTTGATACCCGTGAATGGTCAACTATGGTCAAGTCCATTAAAATTTCATAAACGAAAAAAATGAACACCAATTTGCTGATCATGGCTTTTTTCGTGACAACAAATTCATTGGCAACAGACTCATAGCCATGAACTATTGCATGACAAGAGGCTAGAAATTTATTGTACAATGATTGGTTGATCATCAAACTGAAGTAAGTATAAGTGATAATAAATCTGTAAGCGAATCTCCATAGCGTTTCGTATTTGACGATACTGTTGGTGAATCCATTCGTAGACAATTGATTAAAGATGAAATACGATTCAAATAAGCCTTTCATGGCATGTGAAATCAGTAATACTAAATGAATTATTCTTGTGGTCAAATTTTTCCGTAAAACTGATTGAGCCAAAACACTTGAAGGTTGAACCATGTCATCATTTTCAAATGAGTTGACGAACAAGATTGTCGACATTTTAACGAAATTTAAAAGTGAAATAATCACTTCCATTTGCTTCAAAAGTTGACAAATTGATTCATTTCATTTGCAATACAATTTTCCTCACGAGTTGAATTTGAATTGTGCATTTGTTCGTAAAATTGAGTACAATTTATTTCGAGCAAAACATTTACTTTCTATAACTTTGTAATAACTGACGATTGATCAATCATCTTTTGAAGCAAATATGTGGCGAAACAATCGTTCCTATTGATAAATAAATGGACCCAACATTATTATTGAACGACAGTTTTCTTGACTTTTATGAATTTATTGAATTTTTCTCTGGACAAGAAAATATGAAAATCGATAATATTTGGTCCGTTTTTGTTTGTCTTTTGAATATTTTCATTTTTTTCTGCACCAGAAATCATGATTTATGGTGTTACCTTGAATTGTAGATGAATAATTCCACTCACGAAGCTCAATGATGGTAAGTTGAATGGATCAGCTAAATGTTTATGAAAATTTTTTGTCATGATTTCATGCAAATAATGACTAGCTGATCCTCCTCAAGTCTTTAAGTAATAGTTTAATTCATCTTATTTCTAGTTTATAATGTCAATATTAACGTACTTTATAGATTAATAATTGATCTTGCACAGGCATATTTACTCGTTTATTGATTATTCTCGCCCATTTACATGTTAACATGAGATGACTATTGTTCATCTATGAAGCGATATGAGGGTCGATTGATTTTATCGGTCTTTTTGCTACATAAATGGATTATATTAATCTCTCGATAGATTTCAATTCAATTTGCATAGTGAGAATTTCAAATTGAACCTCAAAGCTAAATACACGTTTTAAGAACAACATGAAGCTAATGAAGATCGATCGCTCTCAGCCATCCATACTCGATATTTAGTTGTACTTGTAATAAAATGTGTTTAAAAAAAGAAAAAAATCAGAGGATTCGTTATTTAATTATTGCTATGATTTATTGTTGATTGATTTATTTTTAAGGCAAAGTAATATAAAATTGTTCATAAGGTGAATGACTTCTGTTAATTTGATTGAATTCCAGTTTGTTTAAAGGTCGGTACATGAGCTAGAAGTGACTTCTGGAGTTTCCTTTGTTGATTCGATCCAAATGGTGTAAACACACTCTTCTTTGGCAGCCTGTGATGCAAATACAAGATGAAAACAAAGGTTGTAATTAAATTATGTAACTGACAAAAGTGTATTTTATTTTATGTTTAGTACTTACGCCTTGTCCAACTGGACAGAGTTTGGCACCAGCATCTTGTTTGGCGCAGTTGGTATCGGCGAGGACCAAAGTGAGTTCGTATTTCATACCATTGACGACTTGTTGCTTAGCAGATTTAATCTCGACAAGGGTTCGGTAGTAAAGAGAGTTGATTTGGCTGTTTCGGTGTTCAGTGGCGACTTGAGCAAGATCTTTGATGGTTTCACTGTTGGCATCAACGGATCCCCATCCACCATCCAATATGAATTGGTGTGAGGCACCGATTAAACAGACGGCAATAACGAGAATAAGTTTCATTTTGGAATTGGATGTTTGTTTGTTGTTTGTTTATCACTGGTAATTGATTCAAATTGAACTGGTTAATTCTCATACAGCTAATTTGTCTTTATATAACAAAAGCTCTAATTAATATGCGGTAGGGGTTCTGTGATAAACAATGGCAGATAGATTCATATATGGTTCATAGATGAGATAGATAATTAAAAGAATGGATTCCAAATACTTGATAATTAAAAAGGTTGAACAATATTTCATATCATTCAGCTGATCTCATTTATCTTCATCAATATCCTTCTAGGATTGGACCATCACGGCGGTAAAAATCCTATCAGTGCTCAATAATCATTAATATCATTCAGATTATCAGAATTTTAGCACCATTATAGCTATTATCAAATTAAATTGATTTTACTCAGTATGGGTGCTGATGCTTAATCTAGTAGATGTCATCTACTAGATGAGTTAATCAAACGAATCTAGTGGAAAAGATATACACGTGCTAGTGGTTTTGGGATTCGTGATAATGTTCAGAAAATTTGGCAATGATGGTCCAAATTATAAGTCTCTTTCAATGGTTCAATTCCAGTACGTTATTAGGTTCGATTAGTGATATTGAATGATCCAAGAGATATTGACATAGTTTGAGATGTTGGTTTGATGATTAACTTAATTTTCAGCATTTTTATGGAAAAGCTCCTTTCAATCAATGGACCTGAGACCAGTGAGAACATGTTGATGGTGGATTTTTTGCCAATATAATTACTCTACATGTTTGAATAGGTGAACCAAGATTTGATCAGTTTACTGGAAAACTTATCAGCTGAAGTGTGTTGAAAAATTGCCTCCAAAACTTTTATTTTTCCTTGGAATAAACTTTTTTATTAATACTTTAATTTGTTTTTCACTTTTGGTTTTTGGAAACTTTCTTGTTAGCTGCAGTAACTTTGATTTTTTCGTGAAAAAATAACTTTTAAACTGTTCCATATCACATTTATGATAGATTATCACTAGTAATGAACTAAATAAAGAGCTTAAAAATAATGCAATGAGTATTGGAAACGAATCAGCTTGTTCAATTTCAACGAAATTAACAGTAACTATTTCCTCAGATAAAGCTGAAACAATACTAGCATCTGCATATCTACCATTTTCAATGTTTAGATGAATTCTGAATTCACCCGAAGCAACTATCTTCAAAGAACAATAAATGAAAGTCTTGTCCATAGTAAAGTTGGTACAATAATTGAAGAAACCAGCTTTGATGGCTAGAGATTCTTGTGAATTTGTTAAATCCAGTGACTTGTCAAGTTGAACGACTAAAGTTTCTGGTGAAGTATTGTTGAATACCAAAGGTGAAATCGAGACAATTTTAACGCACAGATTGAACATCTGTGATTTTGCACTTTTAGGTTGTCCATCATAGGTACATTCTGAATTGGACCAAACACAACCAAAATTGAGACCATACATGATACAAGGGATGCAGCTTTTAAATTTGTAACATGGCACAAGGTCGAAGAAGATAGACTGATCGGTTGATTCAGAAACGTATAATTCACCCGGCGGTAGATGATTAATGTATGCATGCTGGTGAAAATTGAAATCAAATTCCTGTCCAGAAATGGAACAGTCAGGTGGACCATTTCTGAGTGCCAATACACATTTAATACATTTAGCTATGGACTTGACTTGGATGTCTACAGAGTCATCATAAATTGGATACGGAATGGAAAATGAATTTATAGTTGGAATTGAATCAACAGGTTGAGTGTTGGTGAAAGGTGAATCCCACACCATGGCTGAATCTCCATTGTAACGGACTGAAGGAAAAGTATTTTTGTTTCGAGTACAACTTTTATAAGCCGTTTTTTCACATTTACCGACCTCTGATCTTAAATGGTATCCAAATAAATTTACAGCAGAAGAGCCAGAAGCACATTCTTGCCCAGCTTGGTCAAACAACGAAATGAAATTATTGATATAATAACGAACATACGTAAAGTTACCATCAGGAGCTTGAAGTTGTATCACCATTGAATACCGTTCCGATGGTTGGATTGACTCAATTAAGTTGTTATTGGGTTGTGTTATGAAAACAAGAGTTGCATCCGTTATTGTGTTATTATGAAATTCTGGTTTAGTATAATGAATCTCAACTGCACTTGAAATAAATTCATTTCCTTTATCGAGACACAATCTTATTATCGACATTTCGTTTGTAGTATTTGAGGTTGCATTTCTAAAGATGCTTCGCTGTATTAAAAGGTACAATTTATCGTCCATATGAATAAAATCTGCCAACTTCCATTCAACAATGAATTTCCAATCATCATCTTTAAACCATTTCAAGGAATCAGTAATCGTCACTCGGCCACTATAAACATCAAAATGCAACAATTCAAGATAGTTCCATGTAGCACTTGGTTTGGTTAAATTGGAATTGAATATTGTTGCAACGTGAAGAGCTTCATTATCACCAAGAGATATTATTGAACCATTCAATTGACCAGAATATTTCATGTCTTCAATTTTCTTTTGTTGAACGAGCATTCGAGGTTTTTTATCATGGACAAACATTAATAAATCTCTATTGACATTGACCACTTTCCAATTGATAATGGTAGACAGATTGGCAAGGCTTTTTGGTACATCAATAGTTGTGATTCTACCTGCAACATAAATACCATAAGATGTTGTGTGATTATTGGGGTTCGTCAAGAAAACACTGTCTCGTGATTTGAAATAAGCTAATAAATTGTGTTTTGGTGTACGAAATGAATGTAAAAGTTGAATCAAAAGACAAAATATAAAGATCCTTAAAGCAATAAACATTTCAAGTGTTGAGAGGTAAAAATAGTTGGCCAGTTTCAAGAGTAAGTCAGAGTAAAGAAATTTATGGATAAACTTGCCTGTTTATCACCAGGTTCGCAGGACAGCGAACTGTCGGAGAGCATCTTCATGATAAGAATAAATAATGAGCAATTGAACAAGAAAATTGGAATTATATAAAGATATAAAAGGATTGTAGCAACATGTGTAAATATTACACAATAATACAATCAAAGAGTTTGCGCGTGTTTGCTTTTGAATGATGGATTGGCGCAAATCTGATACAATATAACGATCTTTTGTTTTTGTTGCAGATTTATATTGATTAACCAAATCGATTGGGTTAAAGCAAAGTTAACAAATGTCAATATATTGCAATCACGATAATCACGGTATAAGATACATTATAAGCCAACTATTAAACTGACAAATAGTCGTTTATGATGCAAACAATGTTTATAATTTCATAATTATTTGATTAATGAAGCAAACATTTGCCCTTCAATGTGACATCGACTAACTGACTTTGACTCGACTGGGTCGACTTGCTCTTGTGAGTTACCGACTGACTAGTCTTAAGTCGACTCATAATGAGTCTCATTTTGACTGTTTTCAGTCTTTAGTTTGTACAAAAATTCAAAAAAACAAAACCAACTTGGTTTGATAATGGTTTGATGTTAAACAAAAATGTCTCTCGTGTATATGAAAAGTCAATTTAGATTAAATGAAGGTTTAGTTGAATGTTCATTTTAAATCAATAGAACAATTTTGTTCAGTTTGTAAAGTTGATTCACTTGACTTGAATGCGAACAATAATGAAGATGAAAAAGATTGTTGTTAAAGAAGTGAAAGGTTATCCTGGTTTTCGTCGTTACCTAAACAATCAGCTAGTCGATCTCAACTATTTAACCAATGAACCAGCAGAATCACGTCAATGGGTTTTCGTGTTAATTTTCACAACGTTATTGTTGAACTGTGTCAAGATGGTGATTCAATTTTGCCAAACAAGTGTAAACGATTTAACTTATTTCATTGGCGATATAACCATACCAGTAGGATCGACAAAAAGACAGTTAGCTTTAATCTACTCTTCTTGGCTTATCGGAACTTCGTTCTGTGCTTTCACCCTTTACCGTTCACAGTTTAATCCATATTTACAAAAATGGGTTTCCATTGGAACCATTTTTGACCATCTTGGTTCATCAAAAGTTCACCCTCACACACAGTTGCCCACAGTTTTACATCGATACTTTATCCACCTCAATAGAGTGGCCTTTTACACGGGAGGAATTGGAGCACTTTTCCTTTGTTTACCTTCCTACTTCATCTATCCACAACAGTTTATCGTCTATCTAACAGTCTGGTTGATTATTACGATTCTTGCCGGGTTTGTTGTTCTTGGTAGTGCGGGTAATTTCGGTCCACTTTATGCTTTCTACCTCTTCTTGTTTGGCAGTGAAATGGTTCTCGAAAGAAGCAAACTGTCCAAACGAATTGACAGGTCACATGTTGATTCAAAAGAAAGACTGACAAAAATTGTGGCTTCATCGTATTCATCAAGTACCATTACATTGAAGTCAATGATTGCTGGCTATCGTTTTTGGGTCCTTTTCAACCAAAGTATTTTCCTAGCAACTTACAGTGCTCAGTACATTTTGATTTACCTCATTTGCTTCATTGATATCCACAAGTTTTTGAGACTCGCTTTGATTGCCTTTGGTGCCATCAACTTGTGCAGTGGGCTGTCGATTCACTTTTTCCCTTGGCACATATGCTCAGCGAAAGGTTTGTATCACTAATGAGATTTGTATGTTGAATAATCATTTTTACTCTCTTGACAATCAGATTGAACAGTATTGCAAAAAGTTGCGAAAAACACTGTACATGGACATTTCGCTTAATGTCAAGTTGAAAGTAATCATTTTCTTAGAACATGTTGAGAAGCGTTATTTTTTCACCATATTTGGGGCCTTAAATTATTCACACTATCACTTCATCATGGTAAATAAAGTTGTGCATAACAGGAATGCTTCCAGTGATCGACGTAAACAGTTGATTCAAAAGTAATCCAAGGATATTAAATTGATACAATTCAATGAGTCGCTTTCTTATTGCATTTTATTCATCTTGATTACAGCAAACCTTGTAAACTGTTTACGTCTTGAAGCCTTCCTGTGTGTTGAGCAAATATTAAAATATTTCAACATTTTGTTTCTTTTTTAGGTGATGCTTGAAAATGGCACTAGTCTATTGTTACTCATTGCATCTATGCGTCGTTAGACAACACGCATTGTATTACTTAAAAACGAAAATTGTTCTCGTGCAATAATCGAAATTCAATGTGCAAAGCAAACATGGATGGTGCATGTCAGGTGCAGATAGAACTGGAAATATCAAAGGAAATGGAATCATTAAAATTTTATAATTTAAACAGTAAATATCGTGACTTGTGAATAGATGAAACTTATAACGATAAACTTGCACTTGAGGAATAAAGCATTATTAAAATTGTATTTGGTTTTGTAAACAAGAAATGATAATTTTATTTGATTTGAAATTTTGATAACAAATTCGCTGTTTGATGAAAGAAAAGTTTCATGTTAATCTGAAACTTACAATGAAATACGCATTTTATGAGACAATTTGGTGCGGTATAAAGGCGAAGTAAAAAATTTGCAAAGACACTAATAGTCCATAATTATTATGTCTGTCCTCAGCACACTTGTGCTAGAGTCACTACTTTTTATTCCTTTTGCTACATTCGATTTTCGGACCATCACAATTCTTCGATGTGAAAAATTAAAACGTTGTACTAGGTGGCAAAGTCAATAGTGAAACTATCGGGAGGTTTATTAGTCCACGAAGCGAACAGATATTTGAAATTTTTTCTCAATCTTTTCCAGCCATATTAAAGGCAAAAATAATGTTGTATCAATTTATATGTTACAAAAGATTGTGCAAGTCATTCGCAGTTTGCGTTTAAAGTTGCTAAATTACACCATTGGAAACCAATTGTAAAAAGCATGAAATTTGATTTGAATTGTTTGTATGGCCATCTTAAAGAGGATACTTTTGCGAGTTGGTTGATAACCTGCAAAGTTTTTTTTATTCCGTATTGTTCGCGATATTGACTCGAAATTGTAATTCTCAAATTTTGAATATTTTATTAAATATCTCCTCTTTTTTCACTTTGAGTGGCTATCGTTAAATCGCTGTGATATGCAGTGAAATCAAAGTAACGCCAAAAATATTTCAAAAATCTGTTCCCATCGTGGACTAATAAACCTCCCGATAGTTTCACTATTGACTTTGACACCTAGTATTAATACCGAAGGTGCTTACTTTAATTTACGGGACCGGCTTTTTCCATCTCGATTTCAAGCAATTTTTATAAGATTATCAACTACCCAAATCCACCAAATAGTTGACCACTTTTATACAATCCAACACATCCACTATTAATCGCCATCATATCCCAAAAGTGGTGTAAAAAAGTGGTTGACAATTTTGTTGAGAAAAGTCTTTTTAAAAAGTGTTTATGTTTAATTTGATTGATTTGGTGTATGTCGTGGTTGACAAGATGGTGAAAAGACGGTAAAAAATTGGTGTAAAAATCCACTTTTAAAGGGCTGAATAAAGTATTGAAAAAAGCCTGTCCCTAATTCACCAAAATTTCAGTCAATCCTGAGCTGCACTTCATATCCAACCGGAAAATTTATTTGACACTTTAATAGATTGAAAAGCAGTCAAAAAAGCCTTTTCTAATGTTAATACTTTTCCCTCTAGTTTTTTGCTATGCTGCCATCTAGAGTAACTAGAGGGGGAAATCACAAATTTTACAATTAAAACAATTAACAACTTTAATGACTCCCCTTGCCCCACTTATTCCCCTCTCTATCCTTTTCCCCATAAGGGGAGTCATAAGAGTAAGCTAATTGTTTTAAATGTAAAATTTCAGATTGTAAAGGGTGTTGCGTGTTATTCTCGCCAGCTATCTTATCACAATGGAGATTTATAAGATTTCCATTGGACATTTTCATCTTTATCAGTTGTTTAATCTCCATTCGGATGAGATAGCTGGCGAGAATAACACGCAACACCCTTTAATTCATTTAGATGGCAGTGTAACAAAAAAAAAACAAAAAACTCGAGGGAAAAGTGTAATTGTGTGAATTTAATTGAAAAGATGAAAAGAAAGAGAAATGAAAGAGAAAAAGAAGGTAAAAAATTTGTAAACAAAGTAAAAAGAAAGAGTCTCTTTCTCGCGCCATCTTCTGTGACCAAAAGAAAATTTTCGTTTAGCAAATGTATTCAATTGCTCTCTCTCTCTCTCTCTCTTCCTTTACTCATTTCTCTTCTTCCATTTTCACATGGTCTTATCTTTAGTAGTTTCATGATGAAAGTTTCATCTTTTATCTAATTTATACTTTTTAAATGTCTGTTGACTAAAATTTTGTCTATCGATTTTTACTTCTGTTGATGATTTTCGGCAAATGCTGCTGTATGGGTTTGTTTATCAGAAAACATAACTGTATGTGATTTTATTTTCTTATTTCCTTCTCTGTGTTTCTACCTTCTTCTCTCCTTTTCTTGATTTTCTCATTTCTTTTCATCCTTTTCACCAATCTCAGCATCTCAATTCTTAAAAATCCTTCTGTCAAAATGTTTGATTTTCTCCATTCTCACCGTACTCTTGCAGTCTATTCAAGTGATATTGCAAATGAGGACGGTCATGATGACGAGGAACCACCGTTTCAATATATTCCCGTTGATGCTTCACCTCCATCCAGATCAAAAACAAAATGTGATCGACTTTTAGAATCCATTATGTTACTTAGAGAAGGCCTAGAATCTGGAGACATGATATTTCAATTTGAGGTGAGTAACTTTGAAATTGCTAAAAATTCCATTTTCCAACCTTTATCCATTTTCCTGCAATTTTAATTAATCTTTCTTTGTAATGTTTCCACTTTCAACAGCAACTCTATCGTAAAAAGCCAGGAGAGGGAATGACCATTGCCCGTTTACCTGACAATCTTTATAAAAATCGCTACAGAGATATATCACCTTGTAAGTTGACCATCGTAACCATTGAAATACCAAGCAAGGCAATTTAAGGACCATTTATAGCATCAATTAACCGATAATATTAAGTCCATAAACAGAGTTTTAGGATCACTTCATTAATACTTGCCACTTATGATGCATCATGAAATTACCTCAAGAAAGCTATAGAATCCTGTTGCGGATCAATTTTATTGCCTCACTTTTTGCTTCGTTATCAACATATCTTATTGTGATGCCTTTCAATTTACAATCAGGCTATCAAGTAGTTTTGTCTCAATTATTGCGTGCAAACAAACTTCTTGAGTTGAACAATCTCTAGCCATTTTTTCTTGATAAAGTTTAGTCAAATTTTGATTTAAAATTTATTCAAATCAAAAATTGATCTTCAACATCATTACCTGTTGAAAAACCTCTTCAATTTATTTACATTTTGAAGTCATTTAAATAACTGTCAATCAATTTGCCTCTTTAATTCATACCAATCATGCTTTTATTGACAAGCCACAGCAATGATTAGCTATTAATTTATCTTTTAAAACAAAGCTAAATTAGCTTTCATCACAGGAAATACCTACTTAATCGGCTGTCCTGAAATAACCAGGTGATTAAAGCTTATCAGCAAATGATAGGAAAAGATTGATTAATCTGACTTTTTCCAAGTGAATATGAAGAAGAAGCAAGAAAAATTGAGACGAAACAGAGAGAAATGATAAAATGAAACTATTCTGAACCTTTTCCCAGCATTTCATTATAAAGACTGTTACCAACGAAACTAGTTTCCCTTGAGGTATTCATCAGCACTGAGGCCCACACTTCCGACTTGCCATTGTATTAACCATTTTATCAAATTAACTGCAATATGATTCAATTCAATTAGTCCTTGAAAAAAACAGCAAAGAATCACCGGTATCATGGAAAATCTCCTTTCTCTTCTTTCCTCCTCTTCATGCCACCCTTTGACTAGTAAACACAGACCTAGAAAACGTCTTATTTCAAAGATGCTTGAAATGGAAACGTATTTCACTTGATTGGTCATGATTAATTGTTTTAATTAATGTCTTGTGTTTCACCAAATGACGCTCATCCAATCAGCCAACAACCATTCCTTTGCCTCTTTAACTACAAACCAATTTTACCATCATTTTCATATTCATCTTGCATCATGAAATTTGTGTTGACTTTCACTGTTTTCATTGAGAAACCACGTGAATAATATTCACAGTTTTTTTTGTTGTTTTTGTTGCTCATTTTCAACATGAAGTTATATGACTAACTCCATGGTTAGTGTTAGTCCTTGAGCATAATTTTTTTTTAACTTACTTTTACATTTTCATTCTTATTCAGCAAATCATGTAACCTCGATCATCAATGGCAATTTCATCCCTCTTCCTCTTTCTCTCTCTAGCCTTTCATTTAGCCAAGTAAGATTTGAATCATTTTACCTTGTCTAACGAGCAAACTTACCTTGTCTCACTAACATATTAATGTTATACACTCATAGGTACTTTTGTTATCATTTTCACTTTTCTTTTCTTTCATTTCATTTCTCTGTAGCTTATGATATTTTATATTATAATATCAGTGACAATTATCGATGTCATGGTTACTGTTATATCATTTTGTGTACTTTTTTCAAATCAACTTGTCAAGATCATTGTTAGACAAATTTGCTTATTGATATATTTTTTTACATGTCTCCTTGTTCATGTAATATTTATTTGGTTCAAATGATTGCATTGGATTTACATTGAAAATTCAAATCAACTTCAAATATTGCGATGTTGCCTAAAAGCTTGCTTTTGAAGCGAACCTTGTATTTAGCTCTAACTTGATTCTCTACATTTGTTATCATTGGCATTATCATTTTTGCTTTATACTACTTGTTGATTATCGACTCTTAATTGCGACGATGTAAGGTTATCACTTTGATTAGAGGATGTTGATGACTTGAGGTCTTGTTTCGTTATATTTATTATCGTTCTTGATTTCATCACTAGCAATTTACTTCACTTTACACCATTTACTTCATCTCGGCGTGATGTTTGTAACAAGTATAATTTAATTGTCACAAGTTGCAACTAATCTCATTTTTATAATGCATTTTTGACAGTAATCTTGAAGGTACCTTGATATATCTTGTAATCATACCTGATTGCTCTGAATTGATTTCTAATCATCATAGTAAATGAATGTGGTCCAATTTATAATTAACCAAACAATTTTTACCTTTATTTTGTACCATTTACAGATGATGCAACTCGGGTTGTCTTGAAAAAGTGCAGCTCAGGAGATTATGTTAATGCTAGTTTTGTTAATGTGAGTAGAAATTTTTAATTTCGTAAATTGTTGCAATGTTATTAAATGTATTCACTGTAATTACTAATTTTCTGTTTTTTTTATTTTTCTTCTCTTTTCTACCCTGCAGATGGAAATACCAGGATCTGGTATAGTTAATAAATATATTGCTACTCAAGGTCCACTTTCAAGTACTTGTGAGGAATTTTGGCAAATGGTTTGGGAACAAGGTTGTAGACTAATTGTTATGGTTACACCTTTAATTGAACGGGGTAGATCTAAATGTCATAAGTACTGGCCGAATGTGGAAGAATCGGAAAAGTACGGCGATCATTTGAAAATTTTTAGTTCATACGAAAGTGGAAATGCGTCCATGGTTGAAAGGCATTTAAAATTAACCAATCTAGAAACATCTGAAGAAAGGGACATTGTGCAATTTCAGTATCTTGCTTGGCCTGATCATGGAGTACCTGATGATGCCACCGAATTTCTTAATCTTATTGGTCAAGTTAGAAAACATAGATCTTCTTGCACTGATCCTATTATAGTTCATTGCAGGTAAGTTTAACCTCGCCATTGTATTGGTTTCAATTGTCAACTTATCTAATATCTTTTGTTAATTTCTAGTGCTGGTATTGGTCGAACTGGAGTACTCATTTTAATGGAAACAGCAATGTGCCTTATAGAAGCTAATGAACCAATTTATCCTCTGGAAATTTTAAAAGCCATGAGAGATCAAAGAGCTATGCTTATTCAAACTTCGGTAAGATTTTAAGATAAATATGAAAGGATAAAATTTTAATTCTTTGTTTTCTGTTTTATTTCAGAATCAATTTCGCTTTGTTTTAGAGGCGATAGATAAAGTATACAAAGAAGAGATTGTAAAACCTTTGGTCCCGATCGATACTGAAAAGCAATAAATTAACTTGTATACAAGCATGATTATACCCATTTCTGTAACCATACATTAATTGATGCGATGCTCAAAATCAAAGAACTGCAAAATACTTTGGTGCACTCATGAAATCTGGATCAAACTCAATCTTCTCATAGACACAAGAAGGCCCAGTTGCAAGCTATTCACATGTTTTTTTCATTGAGACTGTATCATTGAAATTTCTCCATTGACCATCTTCAAAGAGGATAACTTCATTAAACCCATTCACAACATGGAAAAGTCCAAGAAAACGAGACTTTGTCTAACAAGGTTCATCCACCCACCAACCCATAATCAGTAATGGACGAATAATTGTGATAAAATGTGAATCAAGAAAAATCACTGCGAATACCTGGCCTTTTCAACTTTACCCAAAACACTTGTTTTTATTTCACATCTTGCTCGACTTTATCATCTTTTTGCCATTTATTCTCACATTGACTGATGACAATCAAGGACCATGAAGCCGATGAAAATTGATGATGATCATCTCTTTTTTGCCTTAACCTTTTGCCAATTAACAAACTTGACTTGGAGCTTACATCGATATCCATTGTTGCAATAAAAACCGTTCCATGGTGTAAATACTTGAAACTTGGACATTAATAACTTCTAAATTGATGAAAATCACAAAAACAAAGTACGAAAACCTATTAATCAGTTATGCTAGTCAATGATTTATTTTTGATGGTTACTTTCAACTTTACATACAACATATAAAACTATACATACACATTACGTGCATATATGAAACACATCAAACGCCTGTAAATTTTCAACTCATCTTCATTGAGAGACAAGAGAGGATCCAAAAATTTACACAAACGGATAAAGAAATCTTCACTTGAAAGGAACTTTTCTGAACCCTAATGGTAACCAAGGCTGCTTATTCATCTTCGTGATCAACTGCGATATAAAGACCATGAATTGTTCAAAAGCCAATTTAAACTTATCAACAAAATTTTGGTAAACCCAATTTTCATCTGCCAACATTTCCGACAAACAACGAAACCAGAAGAAATAACATTTCAGTCGCAAATATTTTTACACAAGATCCAATCAATAATTAGCCAGAGAAGAAACATTCTTAAGTCATTCTATTCTTTCTGTCCAGAGTTATTATCAGTTCAACTGAACAAAAGATTTCTTTGCGTTCAGTCAGTCCCGTCAAAATAGTCAGTAAATGCCTTTTCCCTGTTTTTCATTAAACAGGACCAATCAATATGTAACATTCAATCTCTTCCTTCAACTCTTTTCGCACGTTTTCCCTCGAAGTTTTGATATTCAATGAAAAGCAAATATCGTCAACTGCATGAGATGGATAATAATGCAACTATATGATGGATAATAATAATATTTATACTTATCCTGATTGCATCTTCGAGGAAACAAGAAACCAATTAAAAGCAAACACAGCAATGACATTGACAACTATTACTATGTAAAAACATTGACTCAGATTATTCTCATTTTCTGTCTTTACTTTTGTCTCACTCTTCATCCTCTCTTTACTTTAGACATTTAATTATCTTGGATCCGTCTTGTCATATCTTAATCAATCATGTGCAAATTAAATGAACCACTGGAATACATTTCATAATCTACTTAAACTTCTATTTATTTAAAGGTTAATCATGAACTTTGATTGACCATGAGCTTCAAGTTCACCATTCACACAATGAAATCTTCAAGTATCATTTATGAATAAACGATGAACTAGCAAAATTAATGGTTTGGATTCATGATATATTTTTGTCTTTTGTTTAAATATTGACCTGAAATCAAAATAAATATAAGGAATACACAGAAATGAGTCTTGAATATTTTAGAAATGCCGTAATTTATGAAGGACAAATGGAAATACAGAAAATAAGACATCCACAGAATTGCGCACGATTCTAGTGAACACAAAACGAAACAATGAAACATTTGTCAATGAAACAAATGTCAAATTCAGATTGTTTGAAAAACAACCAGAGAACTGAATTTTTCTGATCAGCTATCTCTTGGTGACGAATAAGCAACTCATAAATGCAACTATTAATAATATATACATATACATGTATGTTATGTATGGTATATACAATTGTATATTGAATGGTTTCTTTTTAATGTTTAAAGTGAATAAGTTCGATCTATTGGCTCTTTACCTTGGCTTAAAAATTGATTGGAATGTAAAATGGCCGATGATTTTCATTTAATTACAATACAGAAAGTATTTCAGGTGAAACTAGATTCATATTTTACCCGAACTATGTAGCAACCCAATTCGTTAATTTAGTAAAATTATCTGATATTAGTTAATTTCATTTTTTGAAAAAGTTAATATTTCAATTGTGAGTTAATGATGAATCAGAAAATTTTATTATATGCTTATTACATGTATTTACATGCATTTTATCATTAGGATGTAAATGGATAATATTCGGATGTAAACGGAAATTAATCAATTAATTTAGCTAATTCTATTGACTTAAATGGATTTCATCCTGTTAATAATTATGATCCATGGAATTGTCTGGATAGAAAAACAAAGAATTTCAATTTAAATATACAAAGGTGAGGAACAGTTTACAAGTTGCTGAGTCCAATAAGTCATTGAATGGTGGTGTCCTTAAACAGTTGAATTTAATTTTGTGTTTCTATTTCAATTTCAATTTACATTTGTTGTGTTAAAGTTTATTAAACAATTAATTTCATTCAGTTGCCTCACTCTTATCTTGTTATTTGTATCATGTCTATCTGCCATCTTATAACAATCCTGTCCCTTGTCTTAATGATCCAAACTTCACATCCATTCAAACCACCGAAACACAATATAATTTCATACTACAAGACTGTGAATAATGTTTTCTTGACTAATCCTGACAATCACACAACATCTTATGGTATTTATGTGGCTGGTGAAACAATAACAATTGGTATACCAAGTAGTGTGGCTAATGTGTATGACATCCTCAATTGGAAAGTGATCAATGTTGATAAAGATCGATTACAGTTCGTCCATGATAACAAACCACAAATCATGATTGATCAAAAGTCTTTCAGGGGAATTGAATATTCTGGTGAATTAAGTGATTCAACAATAGCTTTTGGTGATAATGAAGTTCTTCATGCTCCATCCATATTCAATCCAGAATTAACTGAGCCATCTTATAAATGGAATTATCTTGAATTATTGTATTTCGATGTTAAAAGTGAAAAAGTTTCAGTAATTCGATCCTTACCTTGGCATAGAAATGACGATTGGAAGTTCATTATAGAATGGAAAATGATGGATTATATTCATTTCGACGATAAATTGTACCTTCTAATCAAGCGAAGTATTTGGAACGAAAAGGCTGAAAAATTTACTCAAGATGTATCAATGGTACGATTGTGTCTTGACAAAGGAAGGGAACTTATTTCAAGTGCAGTTGAAGTTCATTTCACTCAACCAGAGTTTCAGAATATTCAGATAATTGAAGCCATTTCTATTTACAGAACAAGTGTTAGTAATGGTTATAGAGTCGCAGACTGGCACGATAGGAAACCTAGTTACGGAGATGACCCAAACGGAAGATATAATTTGTTTATCACATTAGATACTCCGAATCGAGATCAAATGCACTTTCATACAGAAATGTTCAATGGCCATGGTGATGATGTGTTCGACATAGTGGAGAGAATGTTTACCGCAGGTACAAAATCAAGTGACCTCAACCTATTACAATACCATTTACGATCAGAATCTAGTGAATGCAAAAAATCCATCAATCAACTTTGTTTTTCAGATGAAAATACCATCCCTTCATTTGATGTGAAGGAAAAAACGACACTAGATGTGAGTTATTTGGAATTTTCCAGAAAAAAACTCGAAAATCAAAGTAATACTGTGAAACATCAATCAATTATGTTTGGACATCCATTTAGCCGATGGTTATTTTTGCATATACAAACCCCTTTATCTAAATCTGGTTTGTATACTAGCTTTCATTGTGGATTTTTTTCACCTGATTTTGATCGTTATTACTGCCAGTCTATTGAAGTAATGGAGCAGAAATGGAAGCGTTTGAATATTGATGTTGAGCAACAATTTTTCGTTAACCAGCGACCATTTGGAGGTTTTTTCATTGCTAAAAAGAGCCATGAAATAATATTTTTCAACTTTAATTTAATTTGTGTGGAATTTAACAGTTGCATTGATTGTATCATGTATGGTTACTATTTTAATTGTGTTTGGTCACATGAAACTCCCACTCTTCCCAAGTGCAAATATGATGATCAACCTAAAGACAAAACTGCACTGACTGTCAACCATTGCTTTAAAATCAGACACTTTTCCTCTAGTACAATAATCAACTCATCTGTACAACAAACTTCATCCATTCAACTTGATACAGATCCATATATAAGGGAGTCAGATAAAACTCTGACTATCCAAGCTGGTTCAGATAATTACTGTACAAACATCACAGAGCATTTGATGTTGAACGGACTCAATGACTATGATAACAAACCACGAATTGTGATCGATCAAAAGACTATCGAAGATATGGAATTTTCTGGTGAATTAAGTGATTCAATAATACCTTTTGGTGATAATGAAGCTTTTCATTTTCCATCAATATTCAATCCAGAATTAACTGAACCATCTTACCAATGGAATTATCTTGAATTGTTGTATTTTGGTGTTAAAAGTGCAAAAGTTTCAGTGATTCGATTTTTATTTTGGCTTAAAGATGACGATTGCAAGTTGATTAAGAAATGGAAGATGGCTGATTATATTCATTTCGACATTAAATTGTCCCTTCTAATAAATCGAAGTATATGGAATGAAAAGGGTGCAAATGTTACTCAAGAGATATCAATAATTCAATTGTGTATCAACCAAGGAAGTGAACTTATTTCAAGTGCAGTTGAAGTTCAGCATTCTAACCCAGAATTTCAGAATAGTCAGATAACTGAAGCCACCTTTAAACTACTTGATTTAGGTTTTTCTTACAGTTCTGTATCTAAATCTAAATTGACTTCAAGTGGAAATAGGTATTATGACTTTGAGCATATTGATACATTGAACCGGGAGTGGAAGGCTTTGAGTAATGATGTTCAGCAAAAATTTTTCCTTAACCAGCGACCAGTTGGAGGTTTTTTCATTACTAAAGCGCGCCATGAAATCAGGTTTTTCAATTTTAATTTCCTTTGTAAACAAATGCGCGATTGCTTTGAATGTGTCATGTTTGGTGTGTATTTTAATTGCGTATGGTCTTCTCCTATTCCACTTCACTATAAGTGCATATATGATGATAAACCTGTAAACAAGACCGCACTGACTATCAATAGTTACTTTAAAGTCACATGCTATTACCCTTCAATATTCAACTCTTCTGTTCAACAAACTTTATCAATTCAATTTAGCACACCACTACAAATAGACTATTCAAAAGAATCTTTGGTTGTCCATGCTGGTCTAGATAATAATTGTACGAACATCACAATGAACGATCATAACATCCAATGCTCTGTGAATCAATTGAAATCGGGTAAATCCAATCCCGAAATAAACTTGATGAATGACAAGATTGCAGATGCTGAAATGATCAGTGCTATATCTACTGGAATGGTGCATATTATTTTTCCAGAAATTGACCATGATTATTTATTAACAATCATTACATCAACATCAATGATTATTATATTATCTTTATGTTTCTATTTATGTTTCACTAGAAGTTTAGTCAACAAAATAGATCAACCTTTCTCTCGATATTCTGGAATTAGAAATGACACTTCATGTAACATTTCGATGAAACTAGTCGGTCAAAACGATTCAGAATTAACATTAGTTGACCATAAACAACGAATTGCGCTTTCAACATCTCATGCTAAAGTTATCAATCTTTTATGTTTTTTGTTAATTTTGGGTATTTTACCAACGCTGAATGCCTTTACAAAAGCACCATTCATCACTTGGAGAACTAGTGAAAAACCAACCATCATTGGCGAAATTCATCATCATATTTTTATTGCAATGAAGTCACCCTGTCCGAAAATAAGATTAGATAAAAGAGATATACCTGATAGTCCCACATATGCTTCGTCTCAAGCCTATTCCATGAATGATAATAGTAAAAAAGATTATTCGGTTGAAGACTACCCACCGCATCATGCTCCATCCTACCCAGTGCCGCCGCCGTTTGCTCCAGACTACGAACCGCCGTCTGCTCCAAAATACGAACCGCCTGTGCGTGGATATGCTCCTGTGCGTGGTGTCAATGACAATGCCTATGCCGAAAATGATAATAGTCAAAATACTTTTTCGGAACCAGCCTACGAACTGCCTCCAGGCTACGAACCAAGCAAGGTTTATGCTCCAGCCTACCAAGCCGCTCCTGACAACGGCAATTGGCTTGCAGACTTTGAAAATTTTCAAAAAATTACTAATCAAGTCTGTACGCAGACTACTGAAGACATGGTTTATGAAACTTTGAAAAAACTCTGTCCAACAAAACTAAGAAAAAAGAGAAGTTTTAAAGTGGTAAAGGAACTGATTATTGCTGTCTCTGCAATCATTGGTGTCATAAGTCAAACCTTAGCTGCTATCGATCATTACTTTAACATACAGAAAAATGATGAAATTGATGAAATTTGGGTTGAATTAGACAATCAATTTAAAAATGATAAAGTCATTGTAGAAGCTCTAAAGAATTTAACTGAAAATCAGCAAAAAATCGCAAACGAGATGAAAAACATGCAACAAAGATTTAATAAA